CAAAAATTATAGTTAATTATTATGATAGTTTCACCCAAGGTTTGGGGTTATTAGATAAACTCTGTTTTCTTTTATGGGGAATTCTATGGAATTCTATGGGAATTCTAACTAGGGAGAAACTGAGCACCATCTTAGTCCAGCTCACATAATATCACGATCAAAAGTCTGGGTCAGGTTCGAAGTTCAATATTATATAATATATAGAATTGATACAAAAATAAAATCAAATACAAAATATTTATAACAAATATGATGAAAAGCTAATTTTTTTTTTTTGAATTTACCGTACTATTTGACCCATTTTTGGTTGACCGTACTCCGACCGTACGGAGTATGAAATTACCGTAATCCCCCGACAAATACCGTACTATCGGCAACACTGATGGACACTCTCCAAAAACCATGATAAGAACTGAAGTGCCACCAGTGTAGCCATATAATAAAACTATTTTTATTTTTTGATTTATGTAGCAAAAGACCACTCTGAGCATCCGCTTTATTTGGATTTGTTTGTAAACAAACTGCTTTTTTAAGGCTGGTTTGTAAAAAATTTAAAAATTCACTTTTCATATTTCTTAAAAAGTGAACACGAGTCACGAGACCTACAAGTCCTCGGTTAATACTTAATTAGATATTTTGAAATTCTTGTAATTTTACGCCACAACCATTGATTATGGACTTCCTAAATAAACGCTTTAGAATAGGTAAATGCTGTATTAAAGACTGCAAAAGTTTTGAATTGGATCCGGGATTTAATGATTTATGTGACTTGCATAAATATATTTAGTTTACAATTCAGCTTACTTTTAAATGTTCACCAAATTGAAGTTGGTTAGTAAAATAATTAAATAGTTTTAGTGGCGCAATCTCCGCCACTCACTGTATATTTGATAGTAGAGAAGTACATTTTGTTTAGTATTGTATCTAATTTAAATATTATACATACCTAACCCCTCTAGTTTTGTAAATATCATTATAATAATTCTCGTTTAAACATAAAAAGATGTAAAAGTAAATAATTCAATAAATAAACGACATGCACACTCAATTACATCACATACTACACTGTCACTCAGTCACTGGACTACTGGAGTAACTATACAAATATACATTATACTATATTTGTCAGTAGTAATTTAATTTGTATAGGGAGTACAAAAAAAATACCACGGGATTTCCGTGAAGACAATTACCGCGATAAGGGAATTACTTTTATTGGAAGGTCGAAAATCATATCTGTAGATCGCATTAACTGCCATACATAAACCTGCAGTTACTTTCATATTTTTATATTAATGAAATATTAAATATAAATATTAATTATTACTCTTATTAATGAAATATACATTATCCATTGAAAATATATTATATCGTTAATTACAGAATTTTCAAAGCAACCGCCAATTCGGTCGAAATAATAAAATTGTATACAATATTTTTTTTACTGTACTTTTTGGTAACACTGGTGGCACTTTAGGCTAAAATACCGTGTCTGCCATAAGAGCCCATGTAAATTTTTGGAGAGTGTCCATTCTGATTTCATCTATTCTGTGGTCGTACACTCGTACATCAACATCGACGACGGAAGACACGTTATCAACGTCTACACCAAGTCACCAACCGATAATATAATACCAACGGAGACGGCTTGCTGCTGTAAGTGCTGCACGCGAAATGCCCGTCAAACCAGAATGCCAGAATCACATATATAGGTACTTAAGTACTTTTCATAATATTAAATATACGGAATCTTCTTATGCATAATTTCAAGTTTTTTGATAAATAGATTTTTTTTGGATAGAAAGAAGAGAGTTATAGAGGTAAATTTTGAAGTAAAACTTCTTTCTTGAAGTGTGGGTGGATAAAAAATTCTAACGAAAAATGAAACGACACCTTTGATGCTAATGTTCTTGGCAACTACTCAACCGATCATCTTAATTTTTTTTTTAAAATTTTAAAATGTTTTTTAATTCACAGAGAAGGTTCCTATCGCAAAAGCATTAATTGTCTAAGTTATATAATATTAATTAAAATAAACGTGTACACCTATTTATTAGCTGCTGTACAATACAAAGACACAGTAACCAACACTCTTATCAAAAGTAACTTTTTTACGTAATCCAAAGACACGGACTAAGTCCGTGTCCAAAGATTACCAAAATATTAAAATAACTCTTGGTGCTGAACACAGATATATAAAAATACTAGATAGATAACTTGGAAATGTTTTTGAAGCCAACAAAATGGCCGAAATTCTCTTATCTAAGAGGTGAATGTTTACATTTTCATAATACTGATAAAGATATTATTGTTATTTAATTTGTCATAATATGAATTATGATTAATATTATAAATTATAAGTTTAAACTTTAAAGTTGTATAGTTAGTTCATGATGTTAATAACTTAACTTACTTACATAAGTCTTAAATACATATTATCAACTTTTAGCTTATTCAACAGTTATGTAAATTATGTAATGGTGCATGTGAATATTACATTATTTTATAAAAATTTGTTCTATTGTAAAATATTTTTAAAAACAATCTGAATTAATTAATTAAAAATTTTACATCCATTTATTATTTTTGAAAAACTATATTTAAAATCAATAAAACAAAACTGGCATACTACCTTGTATAATAATAATCATAAAATATTTAAAATTAATAAAACAAAATTTGTATCTATACTAGTGCTACATATTATAGTAATAAATATAAAATATTTCAAGTAAATAAAACAAAACTAGTATATTAATTAATTTAATAATAATACAAATATTTAAAATAAAACTGGTACCTATAGTCTATACTACATATAATATTTTATACCTACTACTGGTTCATAAAAATTATTTGTTTAGTTAATTTTTGTCTTTTACTAACAGGATTTAAAATTTCTGTTGAAAACATTTTGCCAAAAGAATGGAGTTGAATACTTAGATATTTTTTTAACTAATAATGAAATGAATACCATCTTATGGGGTCTATCTAGCAAAGGAACATTATCACATTGAAGTGTATAAAAAATATTATTATCGAATGCAAATGTATAATTATTACATAGGTTTATTATTTTTAAATCAAGATTTTTACATTTAATGTTTGTATTTGATTTTGATGTGTGGCTTCACATACTCCTATACACAACAATATCTTACCCTAAACTATAAATTAATTAATAAAAATCATTCTTAACAAAACTAAATCATATTTTACTAATATAATTTACCATGAGTTTAAGGATTGAACTTTTGGTCAAAACTTATGAACTGCATATTGTATTATACCGTATGTTTAAAGTTAATACAAGTAAATTCCATCCTTTGTATGGTTGTAAATACAAGATCATAAAATAATTGTAATTTAATTATACCATTTAATGGCATTTATTTTGGAACTCAACGTCTAATAATTAGAAGAGGCTTGTTATTACATAAATATATTATTAATTTAACCAATTTTTGTAATTTCACCAAGTATAAGATATATATTAATAATATTTTCTCTTATATTTAATATAAAATTAAATCTTTTTGGTTTTACTTTATTTTGTTGTAATATGGCATAACATAAAGTTAAATTTATTTTCATTTTAGTTCATTTTTAATATGAACTCAGATCATTAGAATTCAAGCATGTGTTTATTGGACGAGCTTGAAACTTGCTTATTATATATATATTGCATTTCTCGTTTTTTGCAATAAATTATACTTTTAAGTTTTAATCTTAATTTTAAGTCAAGGACTAAGACATACTATAAAATAAAAAATATAAGTACATCTTAGTCCGTGTTGTAACTAGTAAGTGTATGATATTGTAATGATATGTAATTTGTAATACATATTTAATAGTTTTTGATTCCCGCCATAAAATTATCACAGTTTATCATAATTTATATTTTGTAAACATTCACCTCTTAGATAAGAGTATTTCGGCCATTTTGTTGGCTTCAAAATTATTACATGGTAGGAATAGGGAGTCGTCTATCTAGTATTTTTATATATCTGTGGTGCTGAATTTTTCCATCCAAAAATCTTTGGAATCGCACTATTATTTCAGGAGTTATCATAATTCATAATTACACAGTGTTAGGTCTGAAATAATTCACTAAATAAATGAATTATCCTGCAAAATAATGAAAAACAGTGTTACTGTGTTTTGACATTGTACAGCTGAATTATGTACACCACGGTTTAAGATATATATATCTTAAATCGTGATGTATACACGTTTGTTTATCACCATAGTAACGAATAAAAATAATAATCTTTGGAATCGCACTATTATTTCAGGAGTTATCATAATTCATAATTACACAGTGTTAGGTCTGAAATAATTCACTAAATAAATGAATTATCCTGCAAAATAATGAAAAACAGTGTTACTGTGTTTTGACATTGTACAGCTGAATTATGTACACCACGGTTTAAGATATATATATCTTAAATCGTGATGTATACACGTTTGTTTATCACCATAGTAACGAATAAAAATAATAATATCAGAATCGTTTTTCGTATACAATGGTTTATTATTGTATATTTGTATTCAAATATAACACATTTACACATCCATTACAATTTCCAACTACTGTACAGCAGAGCGGTACCAAGTTTTCCACCTTTTGAAGTAAAACTTCTTTCTTGAGGTGTCGATGGAAAAAAAATGAAACGACACATTTGTTTATTTATTTATTTTGCTAGTCATGCAAGGCGACGTTTATTTTTATTGTATTGATTTTTCTCACTCCCACTAATTCACTTATAATTTCACGGGCCCCAATACTTACGAAAGAAGTTTTACTTCCCCAGAGTGTAATGGTGGGCTCACACACTCTCGTTTTTATGGGACACCGGCATCAGAAAAGTGTACTGGTACTTTGTGGTGTTATTGAAAATTGTTTGTGTTTGTGTCAATCCTTTTATTAAATCAATTACATTGCATATAATATATTATTGGTGACGATTACTGATTAAGAACATATTTCAGACTACACTATGAGTAAAAAGAAAGCCAAGGAATGTGAATATAGAGTTACAAAAAAAGCAAAACAAAATCGAGATGAATACTATCGGGCACTACTGAGATCGTCGAAACAACAGGATGTTATTGATTCAATACAGGAACCTTGGCCTGCACCAAAAACAAATGCTGAACGTTGCCGAGCCTACCGAGCACGTCAAAAAGCAGCACGTCAACAAAATTCACAAGAAGTTATTGATACGATACAGGAACATTTAGTAGAAGAGGGCAGCTCACACGGTAATTATTATTAACACAACTCCACTTTCCCAATCTCACTTTTAATTAAGAGGTCCAATTCTCTATTAATAATTAAAAATTTATATGTTATAGGTCTAAATTTACAGAAAGCTAAAACATCCACAGAACGTGTGCACGCATACAGAGCACGACAAAAAAATAAGGACACTGATAAACCTCGGCCTGCACCAAAAACAAATGCTGAATATTGCCTAGCCTACCGAGCACGTCAAAAAGCAGCACGTCAACAAAATTCACAAGAAAGTTTGGTAGAGAGTGATGCCTCCATTGTAGGTCCAAACTCACAGCAACAAAACTCAATAAATATGCGACAAATGGATTTAGACTTTATCGCCCATCGTAATAATGGTTCAGATGAAGAATCCAATGAAAACCAACCAAATGTTATCGTTGTCCACGCTGAAGTGCACAGAGATAGTTCGCAATCTATAGCCAGAACATCCACAGAACGTGTGCAGGCGTACAGAGCACGACAAAGGAAAAATTCAACGCAATCAAAATCACAGCCCAAAACAGTAGCAGAACGTGTCAGAGAGTATCGGAAAAGACAAAAAGAAAAATTACATGGTGGTAAAAATCAAACTTATAATATTGATGAAAACAATGATAATAGTGAGGATGAAGATGACGGGGAACTTATAGTCAAGTGGTGTATGAATATGATAAAAGGCACTCACAATCTTCACTTTATGTAGCTTTGTCACGAGTTACTAGTCTAGAAGGACTGTTTATCATCACTAAAAATGATGAAAAAGAATTCTATCATGGTTGAAGGATGACAGAATCCACATCACGTCTCTGTGATGAAATTAAAGGCTTTCTGCCTAACCACTCATAACAATTGACAGACGAATAAATGATTTCATTAATAAACACCAATAAGCACTGTCGATCTCAATTGTGAAGGTCTTGAAACCCATGAAATTTGGTATGGCGCTTTAGAAAATTCAAAAATTTTGATTTTCTCAGAGGTATATCAAAAGCCCTCTAACAGCATCGATGAGAATATCCAAGTTCCAACATTCAATTGTGTGGTAAAATATAGACGACCATAAGTATCACATGGAGGAGTAGCTATTTAACATAATACTAAGGACACAGTACACCTTGACACTCCTGATATTGTCTTAACAAGAGGACGATCGTCAATAATTATACAATATCAACAGGAATTGGTGATATATGTATCGCTGAGTGTAAAAGGCCAAATGGAAAACTTATAGTTATTGTAGCAGTCGACATTTCACCAATTAATAACATGAAAGATATAATCCAATTCGTACATACATGGTTGCTAAAATTTATGAATTTTTACTAAATTATACTTGACATTGTATATTTTTTAAATTTGTAAATTTTGAAGGTAAATCACTTGTTGTTATTTTAATTATTATTTATAAGTATTATTACTAAATTATGTGTATTGATAATAATATAATATAACTTTAATGAAATATTTTTGGAGTTGCCTATCTATTATAATATATACTTATCTATGTGTGACCCCGTTGTCACCACGGCTTTAGATAGAAACTTCTATTCTTATAACTCTCCTTATAAACTTAGTTTATAGTCTATGCTTTTATCAAAAGCCGTGGTTGTCACCATAATATTTAACCACCCCCGAGCCCGGATTAAGGATCAGTTGGGCCCCGGGACACCATACACTTAGTGGGCCCCCTTTCAACTTTAACTTCAAAATAATTGTATCATTACATATTAATGACTTTATATTATTGTATAATTTTTTACTATACAAAAAATATACAGTTTGTATCTTATGTCATTGTACCTACGTGAGTTTTTATTAAAAATTATGGATCAATGATATGGAATTTCGCTAAAACAAAAAAGGACACGTGTTAAAAATTTTTAACTGGCAATTTTTTTATAACATTTTTAAACACGCAGTTGTACCAATAATAAAATCGACTTTATTTTTTCAAATGGTAACCACTATATTTTTTGATGGATTCCGGTAAAGCTTTTTTTCTGAATATTATGACAGTCAAGTATTCAATTTTGGTTCGCTAGGTGATTAACTATTGTCTTCTAAAGTTTGGTATAATATGCATTAATACTTTTAACTGAAATACCTAATTTAAACATTTTTTTCTTATAATTACTTTTTTATATACTTAAATAGTTAAATCGGTAATCTAAAATTTTCAACAAAAAAACAAACAAAATTGTTGACAAACATAGTTCATTATTTATAGTAATTTTTCGTAATATAAAATTGAGAAAAATTTTATTTTATAATTATTAATAATAATTTACATAGGTACTATAATTAGTGTTTGAATTATGAGAAATATTTCTCTAAGTTGTGAAATATTTCACAAAAACGTGAAACATTGAAATTTTTAACACAATTTATTTATTTTTTTAACACAATGTTCAGTGTTCTAAATTCTAATGTCAGAATTCAGTAAGTATACAATATACATGTATAATATTGTATACCTACTTGTAATATTAAAAATGTTTTTTTTAAATATTTAAACATTTTGAATACCAATTTAAATGTATAATACCAAAGGTTAGGTATACATACAGGTACCATATAGTGATGAAGGTAATTTATGACAATTATATGTAAATATAAAAGTTATTTAAAAATGAAACAAAAAATATTAAAATACTGAAATATTTCATTTTTTTAAATTTCATGAAATTTTCAAACACTAACTATAATTATAGAAATCTGTACGACTTACATAGACCTTATATTAGTATGGCGACTTATAACCACTCTTATCATTTTCTGAAAACTACCATTCCCCCAACAGCTGATCACGAATGATAATACTTTATCAACATAATAATCTTTTTTAGTTTTTAGCAATATTGATGAATGATGATCGTATTTAAAAACGATTTACCTATTACATAAATTTCAATTCAATTTCCTTGAAGTTGGACTCTAATTATTAATTGATAATATATTTTAATAATTTTAAATTTCTTATGCTGAAGTATTCAATGAATTAAAATGAGTGGCAGTTCGTTTGATTATAATTCACTTTCGTTTGGACGAATAGCATCAATACCAGACAAATCGGACGTAAGATACAATTGTCTATTAATTTTCTTTGTTATTTATTAGATGTAGGACATACATATTATTCATATAGTTATTTGTCATTAAAAAATGAATGCGCAATTAGTTTTATGCCCATTGCATAAAGTCTTAATCTTTTACCTATAATATGTGAAGTTATGTTTTTTTAAGTAACTGATTGCATTTGTTACTTTATATTTGGTGTTATAACAATATATATTTTTTATTAAAACCTATGTAATTAAACTATATGTTTAGGGTCGATCTATTTTACTGATCTGCTGATTTACTGATTTACTGATTTGGGGCCATAGCGGCCGTAGCATGGGCAAACAAAATCCGAATGAGTCCAAACTCCACAAGTGCCTTTATAATACCCCCATACAACCCCTACCAAATTCCAGGTTGCCCATCGATTTTTACCTCCGGGTTACTTGTCGCAGAAATATCACAAACCTATAAACTTAACCAAAAATTATGAAATTTTTTACACGGAATGAGTTGTACCATATTTAAATACCTTGAAAATTTCAAGTGTCTACCTCGAAAACCTATGCAGTTATAATCGATATCAGTAATTTATTCACATAATCAAATCAGTAAAATCACGCGCCGCCGTTCAGGAAATCTGCTGATTTACTCTAAGATCCGCAATACTTTATAAAAAATTATGAAATTTTTTTACATGGCATGGGTTTTCGAGGTAGGTACTTGAAATTTTCAATGTATTTAAATATGGTACAACTCATAACAAGTAAAGAAATTCAAAATTGTTTATAAAGTATTGCAGGTTTTAGAGCAAATCAGCAGTTTTCCTGAACGGCGGGGCGTGATTTTACTGATTAGATTATGTGAATAAATTACTGAACTGAGTTATAACTGCATGGGTTTTCGAGGTAGGCACTTGAAATTTCCAATGTATTTAAATACGGTACAACTCATACCGTGTAAAATATTTCATAATTTTTGGTTAAGTTTTTAGGTTTGTGATATTTCTGCGACAAGTAACACGGAGGTAAAAATCAATAGGGCAACCTAGAATTTGGTAGTGGGTTGTATGGGGGTATTATAGTGGCACTTGTGGAGTTTGAACTCATTCAGACTTTGTTGCCCATACTACGGCCTCTATGGCCCCAAATCAGTAAATCAGTAAATCAGCAGATCAGTAAATTAGGCAGTACCCTATGTTTACTTATATTTTATTATTTTAAGGTTTTGGAATGCCGTGTTTGTGAAGATATTTTCACTCTTCAAGGTGACAAAGTTCCACGTTTACTCTATTGTGGACATACCATTTGTCATTCATGTTTGTTACGTTTGCACCAACGATGTTCTTCAGTTCAATGTCCGTTCGACAGACAAACAACTCCTATAGGACCCTCAGGAGTTTGGGGTTTAAAAAAAAATTTTGCATTGTTAGAGCTGCTTGAACGTTTACAAAGAAGCAATAAAGCAGAAATTAATATTAACTCATACTTAAATGCTGAAGCGATGGAAAAAGAAGAACAAGTAATACTATATACTAGTAGTAGTACTATATACAAGAAGAAATATATTAACTTAAAATTTTTAATAATTTTTATGTTTTGTATAATTCACAGTTGCATATAATTTGTGATGAAAATGAAAATCATATAGCTGTTCTGTATTGCACTGTATGCTGTACAAACTTATGTTTTTATTGTTCTGAACAAACTCACAGTACACGGACATTAGCTAAACACCGCCGTGTTCCGGTATCAGAAAAACCACAAGAGAGACCTCGATGCCCATTACATCCGTCTCATGTGGCCGAGTTTACTTGCTTACAAGATAGTTGCCATCAACCATCACCTCCCTTAATGTGTTTTGTGTGTAAAGATTATGGGACACATAAAAATCATAAGGTAAATCATAAGAAGACACCAAACCGGCATGTTTTATTTTTGTATTTTAAACATATAAAATAGCAAGTTTTGCATTCAGCAGTACCAGGTTTGTATTGTAAGCTTTAATATTAGAGCTATTCAAATATAAGAAATAATAATAAAAAAAAATTGTCATTTTATATGCAGTGGTGATCTTGTGACATGAACGTAGCACCCTACTCGATATTTTCCACTTTGAAAAAAATGTATGAATTATTAACAATATGTATCAATAAGTAACCATTAGTTGTATGTATACCTAGTGGGAAATTAGGTAGTTTTTACATTTTCTTCGTTTCTATGGTGATCTCAAAGCGTTGCTCAAAATTGGTTAGAAAATAAAAATATCTGTACCCAGCCCCAAAACATATTTATGTTATAAAATAATATTTATATTTAATATATAAGAGTGAATTTACCTAATATTAAATTTAAAGGGAGTATATCTAGAACACCTCAAAGCTCAAAGTCTTTTATTGATATATTAATTTTCAAGTAAGTTAATTTAAACTATATTATAAAATATTACAATTTTATTTTAAAATATACATAACTCCCTTAAAAATCTAAGAAAAAAAAATAATAGCCAGTGAGATGTCTCATTTAATATTCCAACCTTTAAACTTGATAATAGTTCATAGTTGTAGTATTCTAATATTAAATTTAACAGTACAAAAATTGGTTTTACTGAATGCAACTGTGTTGTACAATTTATTGTAAGATAGATACATATTATACAGATATATATGCCTTCCTCTTGAAAAATGTACAATTTTTGATCAAATATTAATTCATATCCTGTTTACTATACTAATATATAATATATTATGTTATGCGTATTTCAGCATACGTTAGTAGAAACTGAAGCAGAGAATATACGATCAAAAGTAAAAAGTGCTGGTCCTTTGATGCGAAATTTAATGGAAGAAATGAATGACACTATTCAAAGATTAGGTGAGCATGTACAATATTATTAACAAATAATTATCTAAATAAATTGTATTTTTAATTACAATTTGTAATCATAGTATTATACTAATTATGTTCAATATAAATTATTTTTATTAATATTATAAATTATCATATTTTTCAGATCAAGTAATGTTACGTTTGGAAGGTTTGGATTCAAATGGTTCAGTTGATGAAGAAAGTAATCCTGGTACATGCTCCTTGGCACGTGCTAGAGTTCAGTTGTATTTCCAACATCTACGCGAAACATTACAAGTACAAGAAGCCGCTGCCTTAAGTGCTGTTGATACACATGTTAGAGAAAGATTAGGCTCACTGAGAAGCTTGCAAGAAGATTTAGCATCATCATTATCACAAGTGGCTGTCATATGTGTTCAATGTGAGCAGGCTGTTCGACAGGATGATTTCCGTGTTATATCTGCCAGTGCAGATATTAATCAAGCGCTAAATGTTATTGAAAAACATAAACAGATGTTTACTGAACTTGGTCCAGAGCAATTACAACCGGATCCTAGTATACCTATAACTTTTACAAAAGTCAGTACCTACTTTACCATTTACAATTTGTAATTTCATTAATTGTTCGATTGCTGTAGGATAATAGAGTGCACATTGGACCAAAAATGGAAATTCGTGTTGTCACTTTAGGATTAGACGGAGCAGGAAAAACTAGTGTGCTTTTCAAATTGAAACAAAATGAATTTATGACTATGATTCCCACCCTTGGATTTAATGTAGAAACAGTTGACTATAAAAACATGAAGTTTACAATATGGGATGTCGGTGGACAACCTAAATTGAGACCGTTGTGGAAGCATTACTATCTCAATACACAGGTTTGGTTTATTATTATAATATTTTATTTTTAAATGAATAAGTTACCATGAATTGACTTATGGGCATTAATATTATAATAATAAATAAGAATTAACAACAATGTTATCAAAAGTGTATTGCATTATTTAGTTATAAAATATACTTTGACTCTAGTAAATAACTCTTGTAAATATTGTTCTAATATCTATGAATGAAATATTTAGGCGGTCGTTTTCGTGATTGACTCTAGTGACCAACAGAGGCTGTTAGAATCATCTAACGAATTATCTAAGCTGATGACAGAAAAAGAATTGAAAGATGCTGCATTATTAATTTTAGCCAACAAACAAGTATGATATTACCTATTTTTCTTTAAATTCATTTATCAATTATTATTAAATCATTCATTTTTTGTCTGTATTTTTAAGGATATACATGGATGTGTGACAATTGAAACCATCACTGAATTATTTGGTTTGTATAAATTGTGCTGTGGGCGTAGTTGGCATATACAAGCTTGTGATGCTCAGAGTGGTGCTGGTCTTCATGATGGACTCGATTGGCTCGCTAGACAACTGGTTGCTTCTGGTGTCCATGATCTCAACTAATAATATAATATTTAAAGAACATATTTCCGAAATCATATGGTTTGCTTTAAATTATGTACATAAACTATATTTTATTCTCCTTAGTTTTTAATACAAGTATTTATATTATATCTGAATTTATGTTTTACTTTTTGTTTAGATTGCCTCTACGTTTCAATTTGTATTGTTATTGTTATTTTGTCTTTCCATCAATTTGAGAATATCATGCTGAAAATTTTTTAAAAATATTCTATTATTGCCATACATGTTAAATGCTATTAGAAACCAAAAAACTACTTACAGTATACTTAATATAAGAGAGAAAAGTATCATACATAATAGATACCATGTTTGTAAATAGAAGTCTGTATTTTGGGTCTAAAAACTTGAAGTTTATGTATTGAGTTGGGACAAAAACTGCACAGTCAACCTAAAAGTAACCAGTAATAATAAAGTTTATATTATATGCACTTAATGAAATGAAAGAAAGAAAGAAAGATATTTTATTTTATTTATTAAAAACTATTAATTGTTAAGTAAACAATCTTTAAAAATGTATAATCATTTATTTTAACAATCAAATTCCAAAAGGTTTAATTACTAATAGTTGATAAATTATTATTTTATTTCTTTGCTTTGTCAAAAAAAATCGCTGGCACTTATTTTTACCATGAAAATACAATGTTAACAACTATTTTAGTACCAAATTTGAATGTTAGCCAAATAGGTAGTGTAACTTAATAATTAACATAAAAAACAATATGTTCATTTCTAAATAAATCATACATATAACGTAATATTTATAGTTATTTATAATCAATAATATTATGTTATGCAAATGTTTATTTATATTTTATAGAAAATAAAATTTGAAATTTGAATGCATTACAATATTTATATCATAGAAAATATTAACAAAATTTATCTTCTGACGTCTTGTGAAAAATAATTATATTACCATATTCCCCCTTTAGACAGTTGGATCTATTATTAGTATTTATTATTGATTAAAACCCCTAAAATATAATTTAGGCACCTATCTAACGTTTTGAAACCAATTAAGAGGACACTACATCCGCAGGTGTTGTATCCCTCTTCAAAATGTATTACAAAGAAAAAACTATTTTTTGCTGAACAACAGATATACTACCTCTCTACCTATTAATAGTAGAATTAACAAAATTCCACAACGCAAAGTGAAGAACCTTATAATATGTGTATAATCTAAGTTGTACCGTGCAAAACAGTTTTTGCTGTTGATAATTTATAAGACGGAGACAACACTTGTGTCTGGGTGTAGCGTCTTTTTAATGAACCCAAATTTCTATCCACAATGTCCACACGGGAACACACTATCCGTGCACTGTATAGACTTTAGAGCAACAACCATATATTCAACGGCTGCAGCTTACCAAAAATATCATTGCACATTTGTCTTTAAACTCTTCATTGATCTCTGTTAAAGTCTTCTGTTCCAAGAAACCCAACCCGTAGATGAACAATGCGATATTGAGGGGTGTGCACACCGTTTGGTCGATGAATATCTTTTTGGCTATCGTGAACGCGTCCCTGGCTGGATATCGCTTGTCCAGTGACCGGTAAAAGATATGCTGTACCGATCCCAGAATGCTGCCTATCACCGCGATTCTCGCTAAACACGTCCGGAAGCACATCAACACAAATGGTACACACTCATTAAAAAATTACCTACGAAACCTCTTAGAACAACATTTTGTCGCCTATCGTATCATCGACACGGAAAGACGGGAGAGCTTATTCTCCCAACGTAGATTTAGCCTTCCCTGCAGGCAAGGGCGTCCCTAAGGGGGAGCGAAGTAATGAGATGTTCTGTTTTTGCTGATAGATAAATACATTTTATAAAATTAGTTAATTGTTTGTACACTGATTATACAGACCGTTGGCACAAACAACAAACATATAGATTGTTTAAACATACAGATGTTAAGTTTTTGTTTAGCAATGCGATATTCAAGACTAAAATGTTTTCGCCCCCGTCATGGAATTTACCTGAAGACGCTCCTGCCTGCAGGCTGCAGCATGTTTACGGTCTTCAAGGATTACTAGAAAAAAAGAGGGTAAATGCAGAGTGGTGGAGTATGTCAGCGGTGTTGAAAGTTTGTCCATCGTCCCTTCGGCCCTCGCACAGGATAGTGTATTATTACACTATTCGATTTGAATGCAATAATTGCATTCGATAAAAAACGATTCTGAGCGGAGGATCAGTATAACAATTAGTAATTAAAGGTATGTAGCAATAAATTATATAGAAATTAGTATGCTTAATAAATAATAATAGGTATATAGTTTTATTAGAAATTACTAATTAGATTCATAAATGATGTGGTATGTTCAATAATAAATATATTAAATAATTAATATAAATATAAATTCATAAATTTTCATTTGTTTAGCGGTTATATTTATATAAATATATTTTAAAATTGTATTCGTTTCTATAGTGATAACAAAACGTTAGAAAAAAATTTGCTTATTAGCAATAGGGTATTTTGGTGGTTTTTCCCGTGGCGTTAAAAACTATTGAGAAAATCGAAAAATAATCTTTCTAAGGTACCTACCTACCATCTTGATCCAATTTTCTAAAAGATAATATACTATTATGTTGAAATCGAAGCACTCCTTCTGATATAGAAATTTTGTTACAGAATAAAAAATTAAAAAATAAACATAATTGTAAAACCACTATAGCTTCCTCGCTCCGCCCAGAAACTAAAATTGTATTAAATTATATTTGAAAAAAGACCTTTAACCCACTCCTTACACTTAAACCAAAAATATGTCGCTACTATTGTCTAGTATTACTGAATACGTATTTACTTATGTATAGTAAAGATGTACGGTAAAGACTATAAAGAATGCTATTGAAATAGGATTGTATCATTTTTATTTTTTAGTTGGTCCCTACAATCCACATATTTTTGAAGCTATTTATTTATTTCGTTTAACTGGTAACTATTTATACGTTTATCTATAATACGGGCAAATGTAAACTCCCCTAAAAAATTAAATAGTAAATTCCCCTAATAGTAAACTCCCCTAAAAACATTTTGCTACCGTATTACGCTTACGTAAACTCCCCTAAACAACATTTTTGATTGAGTAATAAAGTGGAAATTGTTTTTATATAATGAAATTTATTTATTTTTTGATCTTTATAATTTTGTATTAGTTGGTTTAATAATTGTTGTCGTCAGCAAATATTTAATCATAATATCATAATATTTAATCATAATTATGCCCTTGCGACGTTGAAATTTTAATAAATAAATAGGTAGGTACACGTAGTTACTGTGTTTAAACAGTAAAATGTTTTTAGGGAATTTTACGTAAGAGTAATACGGTAGCAAAATGTTTTTAGGGGAATTTACGTAAGCGTAATACAGTAGCAAAATAGTTTTAGGGGAATTTACGTAAGCGTAATACAGTAGCAAAATAGTTTTAGGGGAATTTACAAAAATTTAGGGGAGTTTACATATGCCCCTATAATACATGGCAGTTATACAATATATGTATGATAATAATATCATATTTTGCACCTTTGTTTTCCTAATAATTTGGTACCTATATATTCTACTAATGGAGTTTTTTCCCCCTAAATTCGTAGGCAATAATTATTTTGTTGGCCCTCCCCCGAATATTGACCGCAGTCTCTCCGATCGATTGTATTTAAGTACTTGCCGGTTCTCGACCAGTCGTAACCATCGGACAACCCGTGGTAACGTTCTACGTTTTGTTGTGCGATGTCGCCGACACACATTATCGCGGAGCCGCTGAACGTGTTGATGGTGAAGTGATATTTGTCGAACACGTACACGGCCGTCCGAGTCATCACCGCGCAAATTCTTCTCCCCGCAGACATTATAATGCAATGCGAGTACCTCTAATATAAGTTTATAAATTTAGATAATATTTTGTACAAAATGGACACGAAATGAAAAATGTTCCGATCGGCACGCGAATTTAGGTACCTATATAATATAACCACGAGTAACGACCGATAAAACAATAATATGCATACTGAAGTAGTGCAATACAAGGTTTATTCATTTTAAATATTTTTGTCATTTTTTATAAACATTGTCTAACAATCTTGGCTGAATGCCGGCCGTTTTGAACAATAAAATGGTAGTAAATACCACGTAGGTGCCTACCTCTATATTGAAATCGACTTGTTGTTCTACGTTAGTTAATATGTCACATGTGTTTGATCGTGATTTATGATTTATCGATTATTAACATTAGTATTTATAATCAATGGTATTATATAGCCGCGATTGTAGGCAACGCAAAAAAATATGAACACGCGACTAATTTTAATTGTGTACCAGTAAATTATTTTGTTCGTTAATAGTTAATCGTTAAAAATGTTAATAATTATACTATCGGCTATATGGCCTATAATATTAATAATATTAGATAGGCACCAAATTTAATAAATCTATAAAAGTATACCTATACCTATACAACAATGTTTCGTGGTTTTCTTGTTATAATTTCGAAATGAACAATTTTTGTAATATATACCCAAGTTGTGGTTAGCCTTTTTCGATACAACACGGATATAATACAGATATTAACTAATAAATATTAATATTATATTGATTAATAGGTATATAAGTCGCTGAGCAGGAGTAGGTCCGAGTATAGGCACAAATAATTTAAACCATTTGTGATGGAGAGGGGGGATTTTGCTGGAGAACTAAAGAAATTTTAGTACCTATATAATATGGTACCTAATGTACAGACTATATACGTACAGTATTCAAAAATATATTAAAATGTAAGATATATGGTGCGTTTACCTAACGGAATAATAGCTAGAATTTCGAGAAGGAGGGTTAATGATTTTTTAAAGACTATTATTATAATATAATAATATTATATACTATATGATAATATAAAGTGTACAATTATGTATAATAATAATAATAATAATTTTATTAACGGAATAAAATTCCAATTTACAATAATAAAAATAATGACAGTTTCATATGCCTAATAGGTTCCCTATACTCAGTATAGTAAATTTTCAACTCATTAATTGAGACGTATACCTATATTATAGTACATACACATGTATTTTTTCTCAAATTATTGTAATATTTATTTATTTTAATATCAACTTATAGTTTGAAATCAATGCAAATCAAACATTTAAAAAATAAATACAATAATATGTACATATCTCAAATTGTTTCATGAATCATAATAATAATAATAATAATATTGTGTCGGCGGTCGTCAACCCAGTCACTCGTATATTATAATATAGGCCATAAATCAATAATCAAAATAATGTATAGACTATAATATATAATATTATATCTATGTATTTATGTATACCATTTTATGGTGGTACATAATATAATGTCATACTATAAATATTTATTTTTATTTTTTTATTGATATAAACGCCAATTGGATTTTTACATATTATAAATTGTATGAAATAATACTCATATAAAGGTAATTATTATAACGTTGGATTACATAAGCGTTGTAGATAACAAAGTGGCTATTATACAATTAAAAATAAACAAAACACATTAAAATTACAGAAATTTAAGGCCATATATAATATATATATATATATATATATATCAACATTATTATTATTTAAACACTCATTGTTATAACAAATGGATCATTCGATAAAAAGTTTGAACAGAAAATTGGTATGTGAAAGCGGTTTCAGGGGATCTAGTATATGGGTGACTGGAACTCTAAAGGGGGGTTCACACTACACCGTGTCGTGTAAAATAATCACGGTTACCTCAGTAACCAAACGATACCTCATAGTTGAATATATTCAACTATGCGGTATCGTTTGGTAACTGTGGTAACCGTGATTATTTTACACGACACGGTGTAGTGTGAACCCCCCTTTAAACTTAAGGAGACATGGTACATCAATATATTACCATGAATTAATTTTTAATTTTTAATACTTAAAAAACTGTGATCGGCCCTTATAGATGCTTGTCTTCGAGAGATCAAAGTTTCATGACTGGTTGATAAAAATTTTGGGGGTGATCAATTTTTAGTAGGAAACATAACTAAGAAAGCGATTATGCAATCGTTCAACTAATTGCTGCAGTATTTCAATTCGGTGATAACAATCCCAAATTATCGAGTCATAGTCAAGAATTAAACGTATAAGAGCGGAATAAAGAGTTATTAAACAGGGTGCTGAGGTTAAATTATTAGTGTGGCGAAGTAGGAACCCAAGTAGTCGTGAGGCCTTACAAGTGATAAAGTCAATATGAGGTCTGAAGGAAAGTGAAGAAGTACATATTATACCTAGATCCTTTACCTCGGAGATTCGATTTAAGGGTAAATCATTATTATAGGTATAAGTGTAGGTAATCAACGAGATTCCGTGGTCTAGAAAATTATTTAACTTTACACTTGTTATAGTTGAGGGTAAGGCCAATAGCGTGACACCAGTTAACAAAACTATTGAACGATGACTGAAGGATTTCACAATCCGACAATCGAATATCAATATTGGAAAATGTACGAGTGAACAGTTTCGCATCATCGGCAAAAAGAAGTAGGTGAACAGACGGGATATTACTTAAGATTGAATTAACAAAAAGGTTAAATAATAGTGGGAATAAATGTCCGCCTTCCGGAACACCAGAAGAAACCTTGAACTTATTTGATGAAGTATTAAACAACTCAACATATTGCCATCTATCCACCAGGTATGAGTGAATCTGTGACAAAAGAGGATAACCAATAGGTTAATAATTACCTACCTATATAGGTATAGGTATATATTTATTGATTTTTATTGATTTACGCCGAGCAGGCGTTAATTTAAGTACAGTATATACAATTTGTTGGTAAACTAAATATAACAAAAACAGTTGAATATAATATGATTATAAAATTACAATGACATGTAATCTTTTGTACGTTTTGTTTACTTGTTATTAATTAATAGTAATTAATGATTTTTTTTCTTCTTCTTCAGCTTAGCGGTCCATTCAGGACCATCACTGCCATCAAAATCTCTCTCCACCTCTCTCTCTGATATGCTGTTTCTAAAGTTGCGTCCTGGTCTATCATTACTATATCTTTAGCAACTACGTCAATCCATCGGGTTTTGGGACGTCCTAGGGGTCTCGTTTTATTTATTTTATTGATAAGTATATTTTTAATTAACTGTCCATCTGCCCTCCATGCTGAAGCTATCTTCTAAGCTGAAGAAGAAGAAGAAGTATTTAATGATTATTATAATATTATGATGTATATAGGTAGCCGATAGGTACTACCTTCGTATATGGATATACAGCTGCTGTCTATAAATATATATAGGTTTATTGGTGTTTATATACGCGCTCCCGTCATTATGAATACGTTATCAGATATTATTGATTTTAATATGCTGTTATATAATTATACCTATAATTGATCAATAAAATAGTTGACAATATTTGATTTTTTAACTCTCCCATGTTTATCTAATCTGAAAAAGTTTTCTTTTCATATAGCTATATATAGTTATACTTAGGTAGTTAGGTATATATACCGCTATCTAGCGTGTCATTATTTTTAAATACCCTGTATACCTATGACCATAACTGGGGGGGATGGGCAAAGGGGCGGACCCCCACCCACTGTTTAACTGCAGTTTAGTAGTGGTTGCCTAAATACTAAATAGTAATATTTAAACAAATTATTGATATTGAATTGATATTATAAAAATTGAAAAAATATTATAGACTTCAAAAATTGTGTCAGTTTATCGGTACCTATTATAATACATTAATACTTACCTATTATTGCATTAAATATATAATAAGTTAGTGGTTACTATATGTCTACATGGCACAACTTAGGAAGTTTCATACAGACGTCTCAGTTCTAAACTGCAACAATGTAGGTAATTATTACAATAAATAATAATATACATAGTACATACATAGTATCTTTTCTCACTTATCAATATTTAATTACCTTTGCCTGTATTTACTATTATTCATTACGTGTATAATATTTTACTGATTATTTTGTACAGTTTTATAATAGCATATTATATAGTTAGGTATACCTACCTAATTAATATCTACTGTAGTTGTATTTCATGGTAGAGCATTTTTATGAGCTCCATCATGCATACACGCAGGCAATTACTTTAATTTACGTTTACTGTTGAAGCTATTCAATATTACATGCAATACGCTTAATCACGTATACTAGGTATTTCGAATTGGTACATCACAGTTAACATTGTACACACCACCTGTTGTATGCAAATAATATATATTATGTATTAACTATTAATCAGACATTTTACCACATATATCTGTCCTACATTGTCTTTCCTCTCTGTTGTTATTAATCACCATATTTTAAATGTATCTTTCATATATATCTGTATCTATACCTATATCTATATCTACTAATATACAGAATCATCAGAAATTCATGTTAATAAAATGGTAGATATTATAATACATATTTGGGAACATTACACTGACATTTGACACTATGCAATCCTCTAAAATTATATTAGGTTATTTCTGATCTGCAGTGAGCATCTATATTCTATGTAGGTAATAAATATTAAAAGGCAACATTTCAGGTTTTTTTTCGGGTGTGCAAGGTTTCAAGCAGGACATAGTATTGAAATTTCACCAGGCGCTATAAAAATAGATATATCTTAATGTATATATTATCCTGCTTTAATATTTTTCTCATAGATCATGGACTTCATCGACATAAATAGTAAAAAGTAATTTAAAAACTAAAAGATAATAAATAATTGATTACCTACTTTACATGTGAAAATCAATAAGTAGATAATGCATTAAAAGCTTGAAGAAGGAAAATTCAATGCAGCAAAATAAAAAAGCCACAAAATATTTTCAATTATTTAGGTAAATAATAAATATACATAGGTATATAAAACAAATAAACTATTTATAACTTTTGTAAAATCAAAATTCACAAGAAGTAAAATTATAATATTTTAAATAAGGGGAATGGAGATACCCACGCTGGCCGGGGTGATTTTTAAGTTTAGTTAATATACCCACATCGTCTTCCAAATTGATATTGTTAACAGTTTCAAAACCAGGAAAAAGCAAATTTTTTGAAAACTGGTTTTTTCGTATTTTCTAAATAGTGGCATTGTATTACAATTTACAAGTCCTTTAGAAATATTGAACATCAAATAAGGGTATAAGCCTATAATTGGTCTACACTGACCATCATGGAAAATATTGGTTGTTTTCAAAATCACTCATCTGACGATGTTTATTTCAAAACCAGCCATGTACATACAAATTTACAAATATATAACGAAATAACGTTGGCTTCAAAACCAGCCATATGATGAAATTTTGCTAACAACCAACTATACACATCGAAACTAGAAATGTTATAAGTTATATTAATAACTCTTGTAATAATATTTTTTTTAAAAACACCTGTTCATATCCAATCGTGTATACAATTATACTCAATTATGTATACATTCCAAACCTATGATTTCATATTTATTACAAAATTATAGAGACGTAAAATGTTAAGGTCTCTTTCGTTTTTTGTAGTTCCTAAAAAATTGGACATAAAATAGGAAAAGAACACAAAATATTAAAAATTATATTATAATATTATACAATATTTCATATTTTGTTAAATTTGCAAGCCTCTGCGGTTATTTATTTTTGAATTAGAAACAAAAAAAAGTTAATAGATTTAATCAAAAACTGGTTTTACGTAAATATACCATATTTGGCTCAATCCTTATATAATTTTCTTGATTATATTAAAAAGTAGGCACTGGGAAATTTTTAGTTTTTCTCCAAAAGATGTGGCGACGCCACGACGGCACAAAAATTGAAAAAATAAAATATACCTACATATCATCATTGCAAAACCAATTAATACATTCATCGCTACAAATTTAAAATTTAATTTAAATATTGTCAATGATTTTTGCAATATAATGAGGATTTGACTTCGATTAAAATAAATGTCTTATTTAATTAATACATTAAGACAAGTATACTTAACGGGTTTTAACATTTTGAGAAGGTTTTGGTTAACTCTTCCTCTGTTGATTTCACGTATTTCCAGCACTCACAACTCACCCCCTACCCATTATACCACATATTTTACCGGTTTTTTGGTGCGTAATCGGAGTCCAATCAATTTGAAGCACGTGTCGTCACTGCATAGGTCAGTATCAGTAAAGTCTGTACTTTTCAGTACAAATAAATACAATCGTATATGTACAGTAAGATAATATAACTACCTTCCTATACCTATATAGCTTATAATATATGCATTTATTTATAGTTACTATAATAGTATGATAATGATATATTGACATTGTAGTATACTAGTATAATATATTATATATTCATATAATATAGGTACGTGTTTATTATTATATGGCTTCATCCATTCCTATATAAATTACCAACTTATCTATAAGGTCACGTAATATGTGTTAACATACGCGTAAATTTAATTTATGATTATCTATGCATGTATATGTATGATAAAATTAAAATGATATAAATCTGTTATTTTGTAGTAGGCTGTAGCCTGTAGGACTTAACCACGTATATAGCACTATAGCCACGTATACACATATTATAATAAGCGGAGCTTGATAAACTTATATTTGGAGGGGCTAAAGTAGGTATATTGGCTCTATTTTTTCATTAGCATTATTATTTAAATAAATAAAATATAACCCATATAAAAATAATTTGAATTAACTGGCCTAAGTATAATATTTCCATAGATCATAGGTTATTATTAAAAGGTTTGATTATTGTTTATTTTTATAATAATTTATACACGCAACACACAGTATGATTTATGAGTCTAATTTTATATTTGGATCAACCGATGGCCACAATCACCACATATATATTATAGCTATATGCAAGTACATATACTATACATTATATATTTATAAATTATAAAATGTAGTTGACACAGTAGGGAGTTATAATAGAATGAATTATAGAAATATTGTTTACACGAGATCATGGACAATATTATTTGTTTTAATTTTTTAATTTTGGTAATATCGATTGAAGAAATAGGTATCTACTTAAATTATTATAAACAAAAATAATAAGAAACATTTTTATTCATTGAATTGAATTATTTCCTCATTTTTATTTTTTTCAACAATCTAATTATTATTAAGTTTAAATTATAATGTCTGCCATAATTTCCTAAAGTTCTATGGTTACCGCCAAATGATAATATTTTAAAATATAGGAACGTAGTAGTATACCTACGTCTGGTCGTCTGGAACAGTGAAAGAGTTAAACAACTCGATAACACTTTAATATACAAACTATATTATAATGTGTAACAGGACTATTTATTACAAATTTCCATAACGTTACTATATGTCCATATTTGTTAAATAGTCCTGCTACACTCTATATAGCTGAACCCATGGGTTGCAGCCTACCTATAGGCTATGGGTATACTAGGGTCTAGGTGTGTAGCTGCTTTGTATTTACATCGAACCATTATTATTAGTAGGTATACTAGTTGGCTCCTTAGGCCTCAGCCTTGTTTCAAAATAAATCAATCGGACTCCGTGCTTTATATAAATATAATTTTTTTGTGTATAAGTAAGAAACAAGTACCTACATACATTTTTCGAAATTTTCTTCGATTTTTTCTGCCGCTCTATATCTATATAGTATTATAGTATATCACTTTTATCAGCTGGTCTGCTAATATTTATATATTTGTTAATTATATTATTTAAATCTTAAATTTAAAATAAAATTGTATATACTGCAGAATTTTTTGATCATGAAACACATATTGTTGCATAAACTAGGTATTTTTTTCACCAAACAATAAAAAATATCAAACACCCTATGAATGTCTGTCCTAATTATTATATATATCTACAATTTATAGAAAATACATGAATTTATACACAGCAGGACTTTTATCATTTTCATTTGCTTAACACTGAAAAATATGGTCATCAACCTATAGGTATTGCACTATTATGGCCATTAAAATACATAAATCCCGATTTAGACTATAACACTTTTGAATATAATCATATAATAGGCAATAGTTTCCCGCAGTGACGCGGTGTCCCTATATAAAGTGTTTCGGGATGTTAAATTATAAATATAGTAATTAATAATTACTATGTTAATATCTATATCTATCTTATATATTTAACATTCTTAGTAGAGAAACAATACTTTTACTTTTTTGAATAATGATAAAATTAACAAGTCGATTACTTGATTGACTGACAAAATCTATTTTTAAATTATTTTCCTCAGGATTCAGTATTCTGGGGCCGGAGGAAAAGTATTGGCAAAGAAGGTTCCTTCTCCGGTTCTCGATATGACGAAAAAAAAAGGATTTAGTATTCAGAGAACGGGTTTTTCCTGAGGTGGTTTGTATGTACATGCACGATGCACTGGAGATTGGACTATACGATTACATATTTTGCTGGAAAGGAATGGGCGGCTTAAATGAAAAAGGGCACTGCGATTTCAAGGACTTTCTTTGTTTTATACATCAGTCATCGGATCCCATTTTTGATCGCCCGGCACCCGTTGGCTTTGGTGGCATAGATAATAGATGAAGACCCTACAGTCTACACTATTATAATATGAATAGATGAATAGGTACCATAGAATTGACTTCCATATTCATGAACGTATTATGTCAGTGCGTTGTACATATTTTATATTGGGGATGATGTTCTCTGCGCACGACAAATGTGAAATGGGCTGTTATTTATTATATTTAAATTTACTTATTAATTACCTTATATAATGATTAAATTATGTGTGACCTCTCATTACAGTTATAAATATTTACATTTGACAACATAAAAAGTTGAAATCAAAACAAAATGTTGCAAGTACCCATATTATGTACTAAATAGTAGATATATTATGTATATGTAATGGATAAGGTGGGATAATATACGAATTATTTATTGATAATTAGTAGCCTGAATGAGTGTTGTATAAACTACAAGGGTGAACCCGCGATTTAGACGTTATATTATTATTTTAAAAATAACGCGTTCAAATTTTGGCGGGACTTATCGTCATCGTCGGCGGCGGCGTCGCGGTCGTCAGCGGTCGCGGTCGTGTCGCATTTATTTTTTAGGTTATTTGCGGCGTCGGCGGTCGACCGTCACGGCGTGTTGTGCGCCGGTTGGTCGAACGACCGGGCCAATCGCCGGTGTCCATCTGTCTTGACTTCAAATATCCGAAGTGCGATATCCCGGTTGCCCGCCGTCGTCGTCACCACTCACTAGTGCCCGCGTACGCATTACACTTAGAAACATTTGACAACGCGCGCGTCGCTGGCGATCTCTCGTCAATTTTCCTTTGGTAGTCGACGTCGCATCAAATCCCGACATCGTCGGCAGAAGTCGAGTATTCATATTTCGTTCGATATATTATAATATCCTTTTCAACATGAGAGCACCGACCAAGTTGTCGCTTTGCGCACTGTTCTGTCTGGCTACCGCCCTAGCCGTCAGCGCGGAAATCTACTTCGAAGAGAACTTCCCCGACGGTACGTACCTATTATAGATTTTTAAACTGATGTGCAAACGACGACGGTGTTTATTTGACGTTATTATCGTTCCATAGATTCGTTTGAGAGCGAATGGACGTACTCTGAACATCCCGGCAAAGAGTTCGGCAAGTTTGTTCACAGCTCTGGTGCTTTCTACAACGATGCTGAGGCTGACAAGGGTATACAGACGTCACAGGACGCTCGGTTCTATGCCTTGTCCAAGAAATTCGCGCCGTTCAGCAATGAAGGCAAAGACCTCGTCATCCAGTACACGGTCAAACACGAGCAGAATATTGATTGCGGTGGTGGATACGTTAAGCTGTTCAACTGTGATTTGGAACCAAAGAAAATGCACGGTGAAACTCCGTACGAAATTATGTTCGGTAAATATATTTTCCTAGTTTTATTAGGCACCTACCTAGGTATTACCAGCACAGTTCAAAACTGTAATATATCCATACGTATGTGACAGTTGAATACTAACAACAACTAAAAAGGTATACTCTATAATAGTTAAACACAAACCAACTAAGTATTTATTAAATACCAAGTATAAGTATATAATATGCACTAACGGTTTTAAAAATTCTATGTGCTATTAAAGTAGTGATTTTGTATTGCAAAGAAACATTAAATACCTTACTTAAAACAATACTTGGGTGATACTGAGTTTTTGAATTAACATTGTGTACATTTATTAAAATAGGTTATTGTTTAAAATACTTAATAACATTATCAATTGTATTTATACTATGAAATAATTTAAATATGATAATGAATAAATTAAATATAATAATATGATATTATGTTCATTTTATTAAGATGGTTAAAATTTCTATTTCAATGACTAATTAAATCTATGACGATTAAATTATCCTTAAATTTCTTTTGAGCCATTAGTGTTTACTTTAAATGAACATGTTTATCTATACGACCTATGTGATCAGTAGTTAGGTACTACTATTTAATTTTAATTTAAATGTTATTTTTTGGTATTCGTATATTTATTTTAGGTACTAATTAGTCAATATTTACTCCTTATTCTTAACATTAAATTGAAATATAAGACTAGGTACATATAAAATCAACATTTTACATATTTATTTATTGTATTTGTGGTTTATGAGTTTCTGAGTTCTTTTATGATAGTGATATAGATTGGAGAAAGTTGCTTAATTCATAATGAAAGTAGTATTTGAAATAGAAAAATGAATGAAAGTATATAATTGATTGAAATAAAGATTGCATTACAACCAGATATGATTTTGTTCCAATATTAATAAAAATGAAATAATGGCTAATTTATCTACTTAAATAAGCAACATGTTTGTGTAAAATAAAACAAAAAGCTGTTATTTGATATTAGTTAAATATTTTTTGATTTGTAGATATTGTTGTTAAATAATTTGTTTGTTTAAATAAACTGTCAACAAAACCTTTTTTATTTCCTATTGTTACTAATGAGTAAACATCATTTTTTTATTCTCAGTTTGTTTTTAGTAATTGATTTCTGTCAATTAATTGTACTAACCCATTGTATGTACAACTAGAATGATTCTGTATAATTTATTAAATTTATTAATATAAATATTAAATCCTAATTCATTTTTTCTTACAAAATTAAAATAAAATAGGTTGTTGAATTATGAATTATAACATTTTATTATAAATTTAACCACTTTTTTTTTTTTTATTATAAAAATAGGAAAATAAATAATGGTGTTAAGGTAAGATAATATGTAACCCAACCTAATTTATCATCTATAATAAATATTTTATTTTACTACAATGGTTTTATATAAGTAGTAGGAACTATTTGTAATAACTTCAACGACCAGTCATAAAACGAATAACAATTTTATTTGTTAGGTAGAACTAGGTAGTACTAGATATTATTAATATGCGGATAAATTTCTGTTGACTACAAGATTTAGGTTTTATTCAATTTTGTCATTAGATATAAATATATAATCAATGAATTTTGCATTATACAAATTCAATTTATAATTTAATACCTAATAAATTTATTAGGTATTATATAACAATTTGATAAAGTTTCTTTAGCAATTGTTTAGTTGTTCTACAAATTTCACTGATATAACACCGTTTCAAATTGGAGCAAATATTGATGATTTAGTACAGCTTAGCTTGCATTTAAATTACATGATAATAAGTTAAAGTACTTAACACATTAAAATCAAAATTCATTATTAACAGTTATGCTTTGTAATCTTAAAACTGAAGCACCTTTATAGGTATTTAAATGACTCATAGTTTGAATATCATAATTATGTTCAAGTATTCTCCATGATAAGTAATAGTAATTGTTATATACTATATTATAGTCTTATACATTACTGTTTAACTTTTGGAATATTTTTTAAGTACATCATATTGATATGTTTCTGTAATGTTACACGTAATACATTTTCTGAAAATAATCTTAATTAAAGTTTTTTCGGTCACTAAAATAATTAGAATACTTCATACCTTGATAACTATTTCTCTAAGATAATTAATATTATCTGCTTGTTAAAATAATATATGTTATTTAAGTACCTTTTAGTATTGAGTAATTACATTTATTTGAGTACTTACCTATTTCTAGAAAAAAATTACCGACAAATAATGATACGAATATACGATAATGAATAAAATGAATTGTTAAATATAGTGCATATTAAGTACATAATGTATGATAAACATCTGTACATCTGATTTTAATTGTTAAACAGTTTTCCCTATTAAGATGCTGTATTCATTAATAAATATCATCATCATTTATAGGTATATTTGTACCTATTTATTATTCTGAAGTTCTTTTCGTTTTCTTTTAAAATCATGTAATTGAATATACTATAAAATGTTTGCTTTTAATTTCCAATTTATTTTACTCCTGTAATTTACATTTTTTAAACAAAATTTTTGTTTATTTCTAGGACCTGATATTTGTGGACCTGGTACAAAGAAGGTGCATGTTATCTTCAGCTACAATGGCAAAAACTTATTGATCAATAAAGACATTCGTTGTCGCGATGATGTCTACACTCATGTGTACACACTTATTGTAAAGTCTGATAATACTTATGAGGTATTAATTGACAACGAAAAGGTCGAATCTGGTGAATTAGAAGCCGATTGGGACTTTTTGCCACCTAAGAAAATCAAGGATCCAGAAGCTAAGAAACCTGAAGATTGGGATGAGAAGGCTACTATTGATGACCCTAATGATGAGAAACCAGAAGATTGGGATAAGCCAGAACACATTCCTGACCCAGCTGCCACTAAACCAGAAGATTGGGACGATGAAATGGACGGAGAATGGGAACCAGCAATGATTGATAATCCAGATTTCAAGGGTGAATGGAAACCAAAACAAATTGATAATCCAAATTACAAGGTATAAATAAATAAAAATTGTATTCAATTAAAGTTTTTTTTATGGCTAAACATACAGTAAAAAGTTTTATATTGAATGAGTCACATTATAAAATATCTATTGTTTAAAGGGAGTATGGGTACATCCAGAAATTGACAACCCAGAATACAAACAAGATGATAAACTATACGCAAGAAAAGAAATTTGTGCTCTTGGTTTTGACTTGTGGCAAGTAAAATCTGGTACCATTTTCAACAATGTTTTGATCACAGACGACATTGAAGTAGCTAAAGAAAAGGCAGATGCCATCTGGAAATCAAGATATGTAAGTAAAATCTATATTTTAAATTTTGAATGTAATTTTAAAATTATGTTTATTTTTTTAGGAGGGCGAAAAGAAAATGAAGGAAGCAATGGATGAAGAAGAAAGGAAGAAAGAAGAACAAGAAGCAAAGAAATCGGATGATGCTGCCCAACCTGATGAGGAGGATGAAGAGGAAGATGAAGACCTTGCATCCAAATCTGAAGAAGCCCACGATGAATTGTAAAAAAAAGACTGTGTGTATAATGTCATTGTTTAAGTTGATATATGATTATTATTTTACTGTATTATTTATTTTAAATTTTATCCGACCAGTTTAGGACTGCCACATATTGTTTTTCATTGAGCACTCACTCACTCACACCTATATTTTTTTTAACATAGTGTGCGATTAATGTTAATTTATTTCTCTAACCCCTTCATATCTATTTTTTAAGGAACCCGTTGTTAATTTGCAATAATTTAAAACATGTAAAAACTTAAAATAATATTGGCCGCCTTTATACTTGTAATATTGTGATGTTCATATACTTATATTTGTTTACATTTGTAATTAATTCCCTAGATAAATTCCTCCTACTTAAAACATTTTTTTCTTAAGGTCAAATATGTTTAAATCATCTTCTTATTCTATATATTAATTTGTCAACAATATTGAATATTTATGGCTTGTACATTTGTAGTACTACAGTAACAGAAGAAAACCACACTACTTAAGGTTTATACTATTTTATAAAAAAAAATTTGTGTATAAAATAAAAATTGAATAGGATAAAATATAAAGTTTTAAGAATGTCTTTATTTGTTTTCCTTTTAATATAATCCCTTACAAACGGGTTGTGTACATATTATTTTGTATGGTTGCAATGAAATTATTGCTTTAAATTAACTTCTTTGAATATATTTGCCTATTGCTATTTATTTATTTCTATAGAAGAACTCGGAATATTGGAAAATCAATTTTATGTTTAATTTATTCAGGCTAGCAGACATTTAACGGTATTACCTTATTCAAAAATACTTGGTGTAATTGTTTTCTAATTAACTTGTAACTATTACAAGTTAAAAAAAAATGAAGTTATCTTTTAACTTTAAACTTAACTTACATTTTTCTATATTAACTTAACTTAACTTAAAGAGTTAAAAAAAATAGTTAACTTGCCCAGCCTTGATAAAAAGTACGATTAAAGATGGTAGGTCTGCAGGGCCGGATTGGTATGTATCGGCCCATCGAGATTTTCACTTCTAAGCGGACCATTTACATATTCAGTGGACCAAAATAACGTCTATAATTATTTCGAGTTTATAGGTGCAGGCCAATCGTATTTTGATCACGAATTTATTTTCACTTGCACGACCGGCCCAAACTTTAAGCGGCCCACCGAGATTTTCTCGGTAGCTCGCCTAACCAATCCGGCCCAGACTGTCTGTAGCTGCAATAACAAGTACTAAGCGCCAATAGTAGATACTAAGTACGATTCATTGGTTCATGGACATAAAATAGAACATATTAGATGATTATTATTTATTTTATTGTTATTTACGCAGTTGATTAACACTTTTTCATGAACTATTTTTTAATGGATGGTTATGGGTAATTTACTAATTTAATTTAAATTTATATTTATCCATAGCTTCAAATGAGCCCCCTCAAAATAAATTATTAAATTCTTTCCTAAAATATTAAGAAATCTTTAAAAATTAAACTGTATTTCTTGTATTTCTTATTTTTTTTTTTTTTTGGAAAAAAATATAATTAATTATTTAATTTTTAGATTCTGAGTGGAACAATGAATGTATTGATTTTACAATGATGAGTATTTTTTTTTTTTGTGTCTGGGTACACGTTTAGTAGTCAAATTATGTTTCGATTTTCAACTTCATGGGAAAGTGATTCTAGGTGGTACTTTTGGGAGGTCAAAAATCAAAATTTAAAATTCCCAATAGTTTTCACAAGCGCCGGGAAAAAACAACATAAAAATTAAAGAAAAACGGGAATTTTTACACAATCGGTATTCCACAAATCAATTCTTGTTTTTTGGGTAACTCATCTAAAGCAAATGAATGTATATACATGAAATTTTCACTGGTTGTTTATATTTGCATTTTCTATACATCACGACAAAATTTTCGAAATATTATGATTTGTTTTGAACTGTTTAGGAACATTTTTTACAACATTGGATATTCACTCGATTTCTCATCTAGCGATTTCCTTATTTTGTTGTTATTCAAAAGCGAATAACTGTAGATACATGAACATTTCACTGAATACTTATATTAGCATTTCCAAAACACCAATCAATTTTGAAAATATTTTGACTCTTTTGGAGCTGTTTACGGACATTTTCAGTTTTCAATTTTTTAGTTTTTTTTTCTATAAATATCAATAAAGTTTTATCTGTTGGGCCAAAAAGTGTAAAAATGTAATACAAGGCTCCTGATGTATTGTTACAATAGCAGTTGAAAAATATTAAAAATGCATAGGCACAATTTTTTTTTATAAGCAGTTAAAGATCGAGTTTTGACAAAATTTATCAAATTTAAAATTGAATAATTATTTTGTAGTTAAAAATGTATAAAATATTCAACTTTTATATCTATGGATTGAAAATTTATAACAAGATTCCACGTAAGTAGTTTATTCTGTTAGGTACCAAAAAATCTAAAAAATACATAATCACGGTTTATTTTTATAGTCATTTTAAGTTCAAATTTAGACGATATTACATATTAAAAACCTAGAATAACTATTTTAGTTATTTTGTTGTGGTTGTATAATATTATTCGTGAGTAATTGAAACTTCTAAAGCATACTATTATAATATATCTATTTTAGTATCACGTTTGGTTGTTGATGTATAACGCGTTATAAGTACCTAATGGATATTGTGATATGATTAATTTGGAATTTATTATAGGTGAATTTTTTTGTAATACCATAGAGAGTATATAATATGTCTGTCTTATACCTAGACTGACATACAGTCTCCGCTCAGAATCGTTTTTCTTATACAATGATATTATATTATATTATATCATTGAATTCAAATTTAATACTATCCATTATACAGTGACCCACTTGTAACCTACTGTACAGCGGAGCACCTTTTTTATATATAAATAATAGATGTATATTGACTAATGTATTGTATACATTGAAATTTTATGATGCCAATTCGCCCCCTCCTGAAATGAGCTTCAGATCAGCTACTGACTACGAAACGAAATTAATGTTATATACAAACACTTTGTTATGTAAAAAAAATCTATATCTATACTATTATTATGATGAGGTATGTATTAATTATAACAATAGCCAGCATAATATAATATAATATTCTTATATTTATGTTGAGTAATGAGCATAACAAAAATGGAAAAACATAAAATGTTGTACACTTGTACCTACCTATTCGTGTTACTTCGTTTCACAGCAATGTAGCTCTATTGCCTATATGGTACGCCGTTATACGTCAACAGACGCTTTCGACGGATTTTGTTGAAATATTTTAAGATTTGAGTAGGCCTAAATATCTGAATCTGGTAACTTTTTACGCTTACCTACCCTGTTTAATAAAATAATAAAATAGGTATCTACGCATATATAATCGTTTTGCAAGTAATGCGAATGTGTGACAAAAATAACCGGACAACCTGTGTGTGTTATTCTTATAACCAAACCAATTTTCAATATATCAATGTATTACAATTTAAGACTTCAACTAAAAAAAAATTAAATTTGAAAAAGTGGGTAAGTGGGTGTTGTTCTGCTGTAAAGTAGGTTACAAGTGGTCACTGTAATGGATGGTGTTCAATTTGAATTCAATGATATAATATCATTGTATACGATAAAAGAATTTGAACAGATACGGTTTGTCAGCCTAGGATACTTTACATAATATTTATATTGTTATTATTAATCATAGGCGTGCGCACGGGGCGAGCCGGTCAAGCCCAGGCTCGACCTGAAACTTTTTAGGGGCATAGTAAAATGTGCGTATATATTTAAATATTTTATTATAATGCTTATATTATAATAATATGTTCGTGGAGATCATGAAAATTTTGTTTGTCTTGAAAGTATAAAAAAATCAAAAATATTTGTGTGTACCTACCTAACCTAACCATTACATACATTTTATTAATCTAAAAAAATACAGTATACCTTTATAGGTACAAATACAATAACTATAGTACTATAGACATTAATAGGTTAATATATTATCAACATGTATGTTGGTGTGTTAAAAAAAAAATTAGGGGCGCAGTCCAAACATTAGGGCACTATAATTGTCTAGGCTCGACCAGAAATTTAAATCTGCGCACGCCTATGTTATTAATATGATATTTAGTTAGTTGAATTGATCTTATTTGTATATTATCATATTTCAATATTTGTATATAATAATATGCATGAGAAATTTCAAGTACCCACGAATAGTACTTTTAAATTACAATAAAATAATTAAAATCTTTATTCTTGGATACTTATTAGTTATTATGTACTTCTGTCCAAATTTGAACATTAAATATCTATAAAAAAAGTGTTTATATATTTTTATTTATTTTTATTTTTTGGTTGCAAAATAACCTACTACTATATTTTTAAAATAATAATAAGTATATTAATATATACTATATATTACTATATTAATACTAGCTGATCCCGTGCACTTCGTTTCCCGTTAAATGTACCAACTCTATATGACTCAAACATTGTTCAATGCGTTATTTAATATTCGGTGTATGATGTTCTAGATTTATCTTAACTTTTCTGATGCCCGGAATAAAAATTCTGAATTGCAAAAGTACATTATCAGATAGGTAATTTACCTGCGGTAGATCGCGGACCCCGTGCTGTTTGTACGTAAGTGTATGATTTAACTCAAAAAGTACCAAAGTTATACCAAGTTTGACGTTTTTACTTAATTCCACCTACCTGTAAATCCTAATCTAACCTAACCGTACTAAAATCCGAAAAACCACATTTAACCCTTTTTAAATTAGCGTATCTTCTTCCCATAGGTCTAATCTACACACTGTCATTCATTTATATATAAGATATATTTACAACAAATAATAATACAAATCAACAAACATGCCCGATTAACCAATAGCAACCAATATAATATAATACACAATAGAGTAAATAAAGACAACGGTATCGAGTTCAAATCCCAGACATCAATAAATAGTTTTTGCAGTTTTTCTAATTATTCGGTT